AATTCGGGCTACACATCAATCCACAATAGGAGTCGAATCACTTAACAATTCATCTATTATCCTACAGACTTCTTCGTCACTACCAAGTCATATAATTACATCTCGCAGTACTAACATACTCATCACATGAATACCAAACCGCCATTCCGACTGATAGGGGCAATACTGAACATATAAGTTCAAAACACTTGCTCACACAATCAGCACCTCGGTGCTCAAGCCATAGGCAAGGATCCGGCCTCAAGTCCTCCAGACTGGCCCAACATACTCACGAAGATTACATCTCGCCCCTCGATCGGGGAATCACAAACCATCAAGGCACATATAATACTGAGCGCTCACGTGCGCATACAGACGTGTGGAAGGAATTTTCAAGAGTTATATCTCAAGCTGAATCAAGTACGCACGATAAGAATTCCAAGAATGGGAAGTTTTCCTACAGGTTCTGCAGCCTCTCGAGGATAAATACAGACGTCTCCGTACCGATCCGCGAGACTCTACTAAACCTGCTCATGACTCGTGAGACCTAGTAACCTAGGCTCTGATACCAACTTGTCACGACCCAATTCCCATACCCGGTCGTGATAGCGCCTCTCATGAAGACAAGGCCAGCCAACTTTCCCAAATCATTTCTTTAACAGTTACTAAACATAAGTGAATAGAATAATACAACTTAACGGCCATAATAATCAGTATTTTCAACCCACATAACCCGACCGGGGTGTCACAAGTCACGAGCATCTAAAGAAACCTGAACACAACTACAGGGCCAATATTATACAAATATAAATTCTGGAATGCTAAAGACAACGTCCGGTGCCGCGAACGCTGGCGGTCACCTTACTCAGCTACAATAGTAATACCTTCAATCAGCTAATAACCCGCTACCGGGTGAACAATACCTGCAACTGCACGCGAGGTACAGGGAGTAAAGTGAGTACTCCAACTCAGTGAGTAATAAGAGTAAATAATAACTGAGAGACAAGAAATCACGTAAGAGCACTCCATCATGCTATATAGGACGGTACAACCCTTTGAGAAAACAGTAAAACCGTGAAAAAAATCCTTTAGAAGATATCTGACTCATTTTAAAAACCTCTTTTGAAAATATCCTTTTCCAACAGTCAAGCAAATGAATGCGTAATCAGATAGTGCAAGTCCGCACATAAGTCAGCCCCTCGGGCACAGCACTCCACTAACAATTAACACCAGGGCGTCTGGTAAACAGTGCAAGATGTAGCATGAATGCCAATGAAATGAGAGTGCTGAATGTCATGACACGTATTACAAACAGGAACCAATGCATGAATGCAATGCAATGCATATGACCGCTGCGGCGCGCAGCCCGATCCATTTGGGTACCCGCGCTCACTGTGGGGGTTCAGACTCCGGAGGGGCTCCTACAGCCCAAGCGCAATATCAATATAACACCGTTGTGGCGTGCAGCCCGAGCCATCCATATATCCAGAAATCACTATAAACTGCTGCGGCGCGCAGCCCGATCCATGCTCAGTCCAGAAATGCACATAAGCCCCTTGGGCAATAATAAAATAGCAGTTCTCATCTCAAAACGTCACTAAAATATCATTTAAGTTTTCAAATCATGAAAAATGGCTAAATTTGCAAAGCAGTATTAAAACCCTGGACCGAGGTCAAATAACATGCAAAGTAATGCAAAATCAGTGATATCAATCCCTGAAGGATTCAAATAATCGGCACGAAGCCCAAAACATGGCAATCAACCCAAATCACGATAGCATCAAGTAGGTTTCAGTCAATTACGCAGTAAAATCAACAACCGGGACGGACCAAGTCGCAATCCCCGACGGTGCTCTACCCCACGCTCATACCTGGCGTGCAAGTCACCACAATACAGCACTATGATGTGTAAATCCGGGGTTTCAAACCCTCAGGATATCATTTACAAGTATTACTCACCTCGAACCGATGAAATCTCTAGCTCTCGAGGCCTTTGCCCCTCAAACCGGCCTCCACGCGCGTCGAATCTAACCAAAATCAGAGCGAATACATTACAATACGCCAAGGGAACAATACCCAATCGAAAACAACCAAGAAATAGCAGAAATCTCGAGACTAGCAAAACCCGAGCCCCGGGCCCGCTTCTCGAAAAATTACGAAATTCACATCACCGGATTCCTCGTCTCGCCACGAGTCCATACATATAAAGTTCACCAAAATTGGAGTTCGTTTGACCCTCCAAATTCCATTTTTACATCAAAATTCTCAAACCCTAACTTACCCCATTTTTACCCTTTAATTCCTTGGGTTTTCAGTGTTAATTCATGTTTATACACAATAATAACATAATCTAAGCCCAAGAATCCATACCTGATGATAGCCCTCGAAACCCTCTTCAAAAATCGCCCAAAATCTCCTTAGTCCGAAGTCCAAAATGTTGTTCTTTCAAAAATTCGCGAAGATGATTAATTTCACTTAACTGCCAGGCATTTCGCTTCTGCGGATCCAGTACCGCTTTTGCGGCTTCCGCTTATGCGGTCAACGTCCGCTTTTGCGGACCTTTCACTTAAGGCAACCTTCCGCTTCTGCGGTCCCCAATCGCATCTGCGGGACCGCTTAAGCGATCCAATGTTCCGCTTCTGCGGAACCTGACCAGGGTTCCAAATTCCGCTCCTGCGACGTCTAGCTCGCTTCTGCGAGGCCGCCTATGCGGTCCTCCTACCGCTCCTGCGGAATCTGGCAAGGGCCAAGACTTCCGCTTCTGCGCATCTTCCAATCGCTTCAGCGAGACCGCACCTGCGGTCCCATAACCGCAGGTGCGAAACCAACAGATACCAGCAAGGTTGAACCTGCAATTAACTCCAAAAACCTTCCGTTTAACCACCCGAATTCACCCCGAGGCCCCCGGGACCTCAACCAAAAACACCAACACATCCTAATACCTTATTCAAACTTGTTCCAATCCTCAAAACATTTCAAACAACGCTAAAACCATCAAATCACATCGGATTCAAGCCTAAGTTTCTTAAAAACTTCCGAATTACGCATTCGATCAAAAACCCGACCAAACGATGTCCGAATGACCTGAAATTTTACACACATATCCAAAATCACCTATCAAAGCTACAGCAACTCTCGGAATTCCATTCCGACCCTCGGATCAAAATCTCACCTATCAACCGGAGTTCGCCAAAATACTAACTTCGCCAATTCAAGCCTAATTCTACACCGGACCTCCAAAATCAATTCCGATCGCACTCCTAAGTCACAAATCATTTCCCGAAGCTAACCGAATCACCGGAAATCACATCCGAGCCTTCTAACTCATAAGTCAATGTCCGGTTGACTTTTCCAACTTAGGCCTTCCTTAAAGAGACTAAGTGTCTCATTTCTTATCAAAACCAATCCAAATCAACTCTAACACACCACATACCGATAAAGAAACATAAAGAAGCATAAAATGGGAGAAACGAAGAAGTAACACATGAGACGACAGGTCGGGTCGTCACATCCTCCCCAACTTAAACCAACGCTCGTCCTCGAGCGTACCCAGAGTTGTCCTAGAAGCTAACCAACAGCTGAATAACTTTACCAAGCATATATCCGGGGTGATCTCACGTCACCCTATCTCATATAGGTCCGACAACACAATATAGCCGAAATCTCACAGTCCATTTAAACCATAAACCATAGAACCACATTGCACTTTCCGAAATCATACACAATATCAGAACCTCACATCTATACCCAGAATAAACCCGAATCAGCTGTAACAACCCATACTTGCAACCTCAGGTGAAATCATATGATATACCACATAATCCAAACACTCGAAACGATAGCCTCTATTTACCGCAGTTGCCCATAATAACCAAATACCGATAGAAAACCTTTTATTAGCTAAAGTCTTATTCCTACACTTCCATATACTGCCAACAACAAATGAAACACGCGATAAACCGTAACCATTCCTCAGATCAACCATTCATGAAGCCACTTCCCTTTGACTAATATCACAACAGATTTCCGGGCCATACCTTGATATTATCTCTCTAACAAGATGCAATCAATTCTGTCCGTATTCATTAATGACTCCAACGATCACCTCGAATCCAACACACCACTCTGGTGACATGACACCTCAATGCAGGCCTAAGCCACAACTTGCATAATACACGCACCAATGAGGAACGGTCTGAACATACCCAAATCAGGACAAATGACTCAAACGAAAGAGCTGTACCTCAAGCTCATCAACACCATTACAATACAAGGCTGAGACCCCGTCTCACATCATAGAAATAGAGTACCTGAATCTACCCCAAAAGGTCATATCTCCACGTAGCCTCGCTACAATGCGCGATCCTGTCCAAACACTGCTACACATGAAACACCTCAAGTCACTATGCTCGAAATAGACAGCCACACACAATTTGATGTCTGGAACCCAAGCAATTCATTACATCCACGGTGAAACAGATAACATACGACACGCAACCCGATAGGTCATAGCCAACACTCCATTTACCGAGCAACACTCAATTACTCTTCCCCCTCGACTTTCACTATGAATCCCCAATAGAACCGCACCACATGTGCCCATAATCAACAAATTATAACGTCTCACAACATAGAATAGCAACTCAAGCTGAATACGTAGCCACATCAATTTGCCAACGAACTAATAACCAAGGAGCCTGAAGCTTCTCTTTCCACTGCTACAACTCCTGCCAGAGCCGTACTATACGGTGCCCGACACCAAATCAACATCGAAATCCGCAACCTCGCCCGGCAATATGCCCGGCCACAAGAAACGAATCCGAAAAGTCCCTCAACACCGGAACTGAACCAATGGTAGAAACCTCTGTACTGACATCTATCCCGAAGGCCCAATTAAGAAACGCAGTCCTTCCCAGCCATCCGCTGGTCTTTGGAATACAAACCACTCTGCTAGAACACAATCCGATACACCTCGCCACCCATCGCGTGGCAATTTCCGGCATAGCCCATAGCGCAATAGTCTAGAATAACCCATCACTGAGACAGCTCCACACTCCAACATCATATCCAAAATCTAACATGCCAAGCACAGAAAAGATCCACTCGGGGCCTCCCATATCCCCAATAGCCGCTAAAACGCTAATCGGTACACACGATCCCGCAAACCCACTACATACGTCTGTAACCTGACGAAACTCCCCAGTCTCTAAAACTCCACTATACGCACACGAAC